ATGAACAATATGTGCTTATTCTCTTCTATTTATAAAACAGAAGAAGATTATATCCCGCAGCAACAAAATATCAAACTCAGACTTTTTCCTGTCCACGTTTATTGGATAAAAAGTTAGTTCTATCGCATTGAACTGTATAACCCTCTCGCTGCTGTCGTTATTTACTCTGGGAAGTCAGTCGTAGTGCCTGTGTCCGGTGTACTCTTGTATAGTTGCTTGTGGGTAATGCATTCGGAATTTCGAGGGAGGAGCTCTCGTTTTATTCTGGTTTGTGTCTGCTGTATGTTTGCTTGACATAGATGCTGATAGAACGCATTTTGTGGTAAAGTTTCCACGTATTGCTAAACATATTGCGTAGTTCATACCGAAGAAACTCTCTTAATGATACAAGAAAATAGTGTTGTCTTTTTTAATACTTAACTGCAAAACATATTTCGTGCACATAGCGTTATAGCTGTGATGTGAAATATTTGTGTAGTCGTTAACTGGTTTAAAAGTTTATAAAGCTCAAACTGAAAGAAATATCTTAAGTGTGCGTTAAAGCAGTGACAGATTAAAATGAGAAGAATATTGGGCTGTGGTGAAAGCACTTGCATAAAGTAAGTTTGAACTTAGTCGATTTTTAAAGGACAGAAACAAGTCCTAAATATTTATATTTTAGTACAATTATGAACTAATACTGAATATTTAAAAGAGCGAGAGTTTTCTGGGTTTCCTTTTAGTATTGTTGATATTGTGATAAGGTTTCTACTAACTTGTATGTTATTGTTTTATATACAACCCTATGTTGTATCACGCATCAGAAGGTAGAGGTGATGAAAAGTAGTCTGAATGCAAACAATTTTCTGTTTTCAAGTCGTATGTGAAACGTTGTATTAGTTACGATTAAGTACCGAAACCGTCTATTTATGTTCTTGTTTTTTTCTGTGTATACAGAGACTTATCTGATAAAAATGTTGTGGTTTATACGTTAAGACTGAGACATGGATTTATTTGATAATTTCATCGTCCAAACAAATTTTTTTATCATGCAAATATTTGCGCCTGATAAACGCAGTAACTTTCAGAATAAAGTTCAAGCATAAAAAAATATTAAATATACATACACCTTTTAAACAACCGTTACGTATTTTGTACTCGGAGAATATTAAGAGTGACCTAGTGTTCGCAATCTACAAGTAGCAACGTTGATGAAAAGATAAGTTAAAAAGTTATATGTCTAAAGTAAGCTGAAAATAAAAAGGCTCGGTAATGTTCCTCCATTATCGCTATTTTGATATCTCAAGAACTTAATAATGAACATGCTAAAGCTTAGTAGAGAGATTAAAAATCAAACAATGAATAGGTTTGTTATTAATTTTTTATTATTTATAAATCAAAGACCAGAAACGCAAGGAAGGACATTAAAGTATTGTTAACTTGCTAAAGATTTATGTGTGTTGTAAAAATAACTTTTAACTTTGACGATGGCAAGGTGACTTAGCTTGATAGCTATATTTCCCTTGTAGTTGTGGTTTTATTATTCGGTGAACTTGCGTGATCGTATAGGCCACTAAACAAAACAACGAGAAGTGTATTTTGCTTATTTTTCACGTGAGTAAGGGGTGGACATATGAAGAGAAATATATTTAATTTTTGTTCCTTTTTTCCTCCTCTCCCACCAAAATGACAATCTCCTTTTATGATTAAAATTCAGAATTAATTCAAATTTTTTAATTTTCTTTTATTGTAAAAAAAAAAAGCCGATATTGACCATGTGCCATAAATCCTTATCACTGGATTAAATTATGATAGGATTAGATACAAAACAAGTATAATGTTAAAAACACGTCTTAAATATTATGAGGAATAAAAATTCTACATTGATTCACCATTTTAAACTATAGGTAATGTAAACGAAATCATGCCAGCAAACGTTTTTTTTTTTTTGTTTTGCTTTTTCAAGGTAAGCAGAACCAGGAGTAATGTTTATAAATGTCAGAGTTAAGATACAGTGTACAAACCAAAGGAAGGCACCTTATTTGGCATATTGTAGAATGAAAGTTATATTTCTTCTACATTGAATACATTACGTATTTAATTTATGGCTCTATATTTCCACATGGTCGTGACTTTCATATCATTTAGAGAAAAAAAAATGAAGTAAATTAGAAATAACATTAAAAATAAAAATTGGCTAACGTGTATGTTGAAACTTTCTTAGTAAGTTCAAGTAAAGTTACACAGGGGATATATATACGCATAGCTATCCTAAATTTTAGATTGATAGAATAGAGGGAAGGCAGTTTGTTAAAAGCATTCACCGCCAACATTTAAGCTGATTTTATCTGACCAAATATTGGGGTTTGATCTTCATCCTTATTAGCGCAACCATGGTTCCAAAGTGTGGAGTAGGTTTCTGTAGCAACGAGATGTGAACTGTGAACCCTCGGTTTCACAATCCGAGGACGCTAACCACTAAGTCACGCTTAAATCATGTTACATATCTGCAACAGTCAGAAGTTTGGTATTCACTGATCTGTGATTTGACGGAGTTGTATTGCATGGGTGTAGTTAGATATGAGGCTTGGAGGAGGGGGGGACTTCAATCATTCAGCTTTTTAAGTACTTCTTTATGTAAAAAAATATATATATACTTGTTACAAACTTTTGTTTCAAAAATCTCGTACTTGTAATTTTAAAGAATTCGAGAACTTCCATTGTTTATAATTGTCCAAGATGCACATGTTTGTAAAGTGTTTAGAAATACTCTTCCCCCCCCCCCCTTCTTGCTATAATTTCTAGAGCAGCTTGCTCAAATTGAGGTTCGCAAGGATACTCCAGAGGTACGTGAGTCATGCCCAAACTCTCGTGAACATATTTTAAAAAATACGATTTATAAAATGAAAAATATTTTTCGTAAAATGAACTTCATATGAATTGAGACATTTAATTTTCGAATACAGCTTTTTGTGTATACAGAATATTTAAAACAAAAAAAAACGATAGATTTGGAGATCCGCGAAAAAATTTTGAATTAAAAGGGATCTTCGGATTACTAAAGTTTGAGAACCACTCTTCTAGAGTAATAGAATGTGAAAACAATGGTAGAAGAAATGTTTGGTCAATACTGAAATCCAGTATTTGGCTGATACAACTTGTGTCAAAAAATTACCTTCTGTTACAATCAATAACATTAGAAAACAGTACTGACTGATTAACTGTTTCAGAGTAGATTAATTTATACATAAAGATTTAGCGTGCCAATAGTATACAGCTTATGAAATCTTAACTCGTACATGTTTTTAAATTATTCGAACATCACTTTTCACTGTCTTTAAACTTACTGCATCTTTTTGATAAATTATATAGAACAGATCTGTCACCGAGATATCGCGCGTTTTTTATGTTGAAGTGAGCACGTGCCTTGTCTGATCATGCTCGTAGC